GGATACATAGTTCTGTATAGTCCTGTGTATTACTTGACATTTATATGAAAAGCAATTAGTGTCCAAAGTGCCTTGATTAGATTTGTAAATTTTCTTGATTTGTTGCAAGGACAATCTCATTTATTGATTGCTTGGTCCTTAAGGATTTAAGTTGTATAATGATTTTCAAGTATTCTTTTCTATAAAAGGAAAATTGGTCTCTTGTTGTTTTTCTTGGTCAATTCAAGACAAACCTTCAATGACATTATGAATGCATCCTACTCGAAGGTACCAAAATGTCAGGCAAAGGAATGTTCATGTCTGTATGTAATAACATACAGGTGTACTCATATAAACATAACAACAATATAACAGCAACATACTATAAATATTGTGTATGATGAGAAATAACAAAACACATTGAAATGATAGAGTACAGTACGAGAAGATAAATTAAATACAGCAATATTAAAAAGAAGGTTTTGTTGCATAGCTCCGAAATGTCAATATAACAGCAACATACTATAAGTATTGTGTATGATGAAAAATAACAAAAAGCGCTCACATTGAAATGATAGAGTACAGTACGAGAAGATAAATTAAATACAGCAATATTAAAAAGAAGGTTTTGTTGCATAGCTCCAAAATGTCATTGTGGAAAAGCTCTTTTTGAGTGAATAAATAATAGAACTAACTCTAATGATTGTAAAGAATGTTACTCCGAATATATAGAGGGAGGCCATGATTCAATGTTTCAACCTTTATTGGGTCAGCTTCAGGAATTGATGATGTACTATAATCAGTTAAAAAGACAAGAAATTACCACAAAAAATCATAAAATTTTGAATTGATCATTTGAAAGGATCAAAATTTTTAGGTTCCAACTAGAAGCAGATCGAAAAAAAAAAGAAGTAGTTTTCACCGATTTACAGATATTTACAGTAACTACAAAAATAATCTACTTGGTAAAAGTACCAAGGTTTACTTGTGTAAGAAAATGGCTTAAATTTCTCTTCTAAAAGGCTGTGTGCACTTACATCAAACTTGAATTTTTTAGAATGGAACTTAACCAGAGACCAGAGATAGTTCAGTGTACACATAATGGATACTGTTATGTTAGCCTTGTCCCTGCTCTCTCATTGTACCGTACAAAATCGCTTTAAGAAAATTTCCACTATGTAATCATTCAACTGAACATTATAATTTTAAGAACCATTACCTTCTATTCAACCATAACAAATTATATTATTTTTTTTTTTTTTTTTGTATATAAATTTCAAACACAAATAGTTATTATGTATTGGTCAGTCATGCTTTAACAAGTGCTAATACTTAAGTGACAAATCGTTTTTTTTTGGTTTTTTTTTTAATTTGTAGCAAACAATAACCATGTAAAGATCACTGATTCAGGCTTCTTTGATTGCCAGAGAAACAGAAGAGGAAGAGCGAAGAAAACAAAAGCAGCATTATTGTTAATCCAAGGAGTGCAAAAGATGATAGAATTTTTTATCTTTCAAACTTTATGGGAAAGATGAATTTCTCTAAATATGAAAGTCAGTCACCTTATTTAACTCGCTTAAATGTAAAGTCACAGTAATATGGATCTGTAGCCTCTCGCTGGATAAAACAAAATCTGCATTAGTCCGTGCTGCGTGATTCAATTACATGTAGGGATCTTGAATGCAATTTACTTCCTAATTACGTCATCATACGGACGTCTTCATTTATGCCGAATGTTAACGACTTTATGAATTTGAGTTCTCTTGTCATATAATTACAGTATTCTTTTTGCATAAACATGCTTTCTTTGAAAACGCACTCTATATCAACATCTTTAACTCGATTGCCGTTCTCATATCCTACACTTATCATAAAAGCGCATGTTTACATGAACAACACAGCCGAAGTTTGTTTTTCGATATTTAAGTGGGAGTGGTAATGAAATATCTACGTAGTCTAGGTTTTGTGTAGGTGTTTATACATCACAATTGTCATGGGCTCTTGCCAAACAAAATTAATATCGGATTAGGAGGAATTCAGTGCTCGTTTTAACGTAGATAATGTGCCACAACTTCCTGTCAAATTTACAACCACAGCGAGAATATTTAAATTGTTACAATTTAGAATTTGTAAATTTAGGATGAATTAAACTTTAGCTAAAATAATATACTTTCTAGTTATTTGGCTTTAAACATAAATCATTTGCATCTGTTATTATCATCATCTGTTAAATATTCTTGATTTAAACAACATTTCTTTTACATCCAACGTCGGCAAATACACTCGCAAATTTACCAGATAGCACGACGGTATTTGTTACTGGCATTATAAAGCTTACCATAAATTTCCTTCTCATTCAAACAACCAGCCACTTGCCACTTCAGAATTGAATCAATTTTGTGGTACTCTGTAACAATAAGAGACAAACTGTAGGGAGTGGAGCTTTTTCTAGTCATTAAAACAATTTGAGGTAGTTTGCAGGATTTGAACCTAGAACTCCTGGTATTTGATGGCAAGCATCTTAACCGACAATATACAGCTTTAACCTATGTCACTTATATATCATTATGTTCATAACATTTATTATGTAACTGTAATGGTATTACTATCACATCAGCATAATCCAACCTTTTTAGAGACACCGTTAATTACGCTCGTACTAACGTATGTGGATGTTGTTATCCATAGGAGGTGCTTATTCTCCTTTAGTGAAACCAAGTCGTTACAATAGTGAGCGGTTCCATTAGTTAAAACCAATAATTGATCCGATCCAATCGGCACTGTATCCTGATTGCTTCATCCATAGTCTTGAAGGCAAAATCAATTTTGTTTGCCAAATTCAATCTTGTGACGTAAATCGTGACAAACCAAGTGTTTAGACGAAGTTCCCACTTCTCTCGTTAACTGCCTTCAGACAAGGTTTGTGTTTGCTCATTTGTTTTAGTACAGCATAATTGTAAATTTGAAATCTATTTAGGTAAAACATTTACTTTGAATGATGCATAGATTGTTCAACTCAACATAGTATCTGCAGGTGGCAATTGTGTGATATATAACAATTATCGATTATGCTTAAAATAATTTTGGATTAGATTTCAAATAGTGGAAGCGTACAATTGACACCTACTTCAGATAGGTAAGTTTATTTTTCATTTTTCTTCTATCACTGATATTATTATGATTTAATATATCATGGTATCTTTATTCATAATCATCATAAAACAAAGTAACAGTATAACAGAATTTCATTGCAGTTTCAAAATCTGAATTGTGAAAAAAGATGTTTACAGCATTGTATAAAAGGCATAAAAACAAAAGTAAAACATTCATTATTATATATTATTATAATATTATTATTTATTAAGATTATTATTATTTTATTATTGGATTTTTAAAATTTTGTGTATGAGAAAATATATTAAGATAGTACACAGTAATAATTTTAGCATTGCATGCTAAACGTCCACAGAAACCAGACATGTTTTTGGTAGTAACACTTCTGTTACAGACTAGTTCATATTTGTGTTCTGTTTGGCTAACCAAGCAGAATTGGAGTTCACTTCATGTATACAGTCACAGTAATAATAATTTTAGTAAAGCATTTATAATGCAGCAAATGTTTAGAAAAAGTTAACTCTGTAACAATAACTTGGAGGATTAGTTCCGGTAAAACAAGTTTTTTTCACTTTTGTTATTTCCAGGCTGGTTTGTATTTTATTCTGCCAAAATTTATTTGAACAAATTCCATTTTGAGGCATATCAGTAACAATTTTAGTTAGCCAGAAAACAGTGTATGCTTAACTCAAAACCTATTTGTGTTATTGGTTTTAGTATATCTACTTTACTCCTCAAGTGGAATTTATCTGTACTTGATATTTATTAATTTATTGATTTGATAGTGTGCTCAACTATTTAATACAATGAATACAACAAAATCAATAATAGTAAATTTACTCGCAGACAGTATGTGGTCTCCTTATTCCTAGACAAACAACAATTGAACTTCAGTAAAAAAAAACCAATATTTTAATGTCGTAAATGCTTTTAAAGCATTACTGCCACCACTAAGTTACTTGCCTTTTAATGATGAGAATAAAATTCTAATTTTATTCAAATTAAATGTACTGATTCAACGATATACCTTATTTGCAGCAAATCTTTGATTTTTTTTCTTTAATATTTTCTATTTTTAATTCATTGCCAGAGATAAACCTTGGTAGATTGCCATCACAAAATGTGTATTTTTAAGGTATATTTTTATTAATGTATTTAACACCATACAAATTGTTCTTCAGGGAAATCTGTCTTCTATTACCTGAACGAATTAGTGCAACTTTGTCCTATAATTCAAATGGGTTAATGTCAGCTACATGTATACATAGGCTTCCTGAGTGGGCTCTTAATTTTCTCAAACTGTTCCTTAGCAACTTACTGATAGCCTTTGTATTTGGTACTTGCTCCGAGAGAATGAAAGTAAGAATCAAACAAAATTGAACAGATGTAATAAACAAAATTGCAGTGTGATGGAATCCTATCAGAAGAAAATGTTTTACAACAAAACCTCAATTGGCCCCATCATACTGTATGCTGATTCAAAGGTGCTCAGCCATCCTCTCTCCCTCCCC